TATTCCTTCCGACTGACAAACGCTGAGAACAATGTAAACTCATTCGCATAACGTAGATACAGCATTTCGGCCTCATCTCAAAAGTTTCATGATGATTCGCTGAATCTTTGAGCTAAATTCCCAAAAAACAAGATATTCACAGAAACCGTGATCGTCATCGTCACAGCCCTCAAGACTCACTCAACGGTGGAAGGGGATCCTTCATTTTCATTGAATGAAGAACATCAAGATTGATATTAGCCGTATTCTTTCCAAAGACAACTTTAAAAAGCTGATGCAGCAATGTTGTGCAGCCGTCTGGACATACTTCAAAGGTCACCTGAATGCTATCGTCAATTCAATCGCGTAATAAAGTAATAAATATAACTATAAAATATAATACAACTATTAACCAAGTAATAAATAATATTAACCTTGATGTACAGCAAAATTTCCTGAAGTAATGGACGCATCTGCTGGAAGGTCATCATTTCACAGATAGTTCCTAAGCAGTCAAGACCAGCTCGAAGTAGTAAAGTGAATCGGGTTTCAGCTTCACGATCAAGGCTTTCCTGAGATGGGAACTCTCCTAACATCAAAAATAAGCGAGAGCGGATGGTCTGGGATCACCGGGTTGACCGTACGAAAACAATTTATTTGATGCTACAAAATAAATTATCAAATTCGAAGTGGTACTGAAACTCACCAAGAAATTTCGATGAGCTCCCTCAACACTATCGAAAATATTTTTTAGTGAAGGGCATTCTAAATAACTGGTTTGCATCGTTGGATGGATACTGGTACCCAACAGCCTCGATATGTCTGCAATCCGTGAAGGGGAGACTTTCTTGGCTGGCAAAGGAGAAAGTGTTGGACGCGATAGGAGCGAGGTAGACGATTGAGATGTGACGGCACGATATTCAGCTACCAAAGAATAGTACATGTTTAGAATCCTAGAAATAAACGAACTGGAAATAATAAATCGAAAAAGGCGGAGCTATCTTAATGTAAGGTAGAATGGCCACTGAAATACCTCAGAGGCATAAGGAGAAGTCGATCAAGCAGCAATTGATCGGGCAGACGTGGAAGGGTCGTTCGGTCTACAGTAGCTTGTTCTTGTACTACATTCATCATGTAACTTTCACAGTATCCTTAATAGGAGAAATGTCGAGGGAAAAGCTTCAGGTAGAGTAAAAGGAGAGAGAGAGGGGAACGGAGTGGGAGAGAAAAAAAGAGAGAAAGAGGAAAATGTTCACCACGACGTACCAGCGAAGAATGCAGCCAATACTTTCAATCCATCCGCTAACTTGCTAGGGGAAGTTAGGTTTATCTCACATAATTCCACAGCTGTAGATAAAAATCCACAAGAAGATGAGGGCTGCCTGAAAAACGAAGGGCTGCTACGAAAAAAAAAACGGAAATAAGGCAATAAGGTGTGATACTAAAACAAACTCCCAAGACAAAAGTAGTGGAACTATGGTGGTAAACTCACTTGCTCAAGCAATTCCAGCATTCTGGATACACTGGTGCTGGGAATGCTTTTAGTAATGCATTCATCGTGGAGCAGAGACCAGCCTGGAAAGAGAATGGCACAAATGAGTGAAAAAATTTGAAATTATGAAAAAACACTGGTCAGTGTGATATTTTCGGCCACAAATTTAAAGCATTCATGATGTTTGCAAAGGTGAAGAAAAACTGAAAACTTTCTTCATAAAACGCATTTCACTGCTGGTACAAATAGAGTTGTAAAGTATAAAAAGCTACAAAAGAGAAAAAACGGTCAGTATGACTATGACGAAACCATACCGAGCGTCCAAGAACATCCCTACTGAAGTAATCAGTCAAAGAATAGAGAATCACTTCGAGATTAGCTTCCACCACAAAATCTGGGCATTCACCTCGAAAACGGAATTCCCGTGGCATGTTGAGCACCTAAAATCGTTAAATCCCACAGATTCAACAAATAAAAAAAAATGGTGGAAAATACTGGCACACTTACAGCTGGCAGGGAGTCCTTTTCGAATGAAATCAAGTCGTCAGGAATTTTAGCAGCGAATACTCCAGAATACTCAGTGAAGTCTGCATTCCTTACCAGCCTACGAAAATCGTAGATCAAATGGAATTCAATGCATTCTGCCATGAGAGAGAAAGCTAAACTCACTGTTCCAAACCTGCCAGTGCAGCTTGGCTTACTTTTTGGTCATCTGAGAACAATAAATCGAAGTAAGCAGTAAGGCATCGTTCTTGCCACTCATCTTTCGTGGGAGTTTTCATTAAGCTCCACCGCAGAGTACTGAGAAATTCTGCGCAAGTGACCTGAATGTTTCTTAAATTGAAAATGAAAAAAGGAACCTGCAGAAACATGGGCACTTCCCAGTGAAACAAGTACCTTAAGAAGAAAGAATGTGGATGACACCTCTGTCGTTGCCAAATACAGGGATTCTGGGAGTATACCAAGAGCTTCGAGAATATGTTGTTGCCCTATTGCAGCTTGCAAAACAGAACGTTTTCTTATCGGTTGGAATGCCTTCATCACTCTACGGTAATTGTGCGCATTGTCTAAAAATACATTAATTACAGATAACATAAAATTTCATTTCTCTATAAAGCTCTTTGACCAAAGAATTGTGACCTGGGCAACCAAGCAGAATTGACTTGTTTGTGTTGATAAGCACATTGGGAAAAGATTGCTTTATAGTTAGTGGTACAATACTGATCACAGTCAAAGGTAGAAATTTTCGGAAGTCTTATGAATCACTGCTCAATACCATTTTTACAAGATGGGACTATATTTTCTCGTCAAGATTCAAACTGTCGTTCACAGGCATTTCGCCTTATTTTTGCAAGAGCTTACTGTAAACATTCACTTTGCTGTCTAGGAGCCCAAAGCCAGACATCTACAGTCCTATTTTAATCGAAGCCTGGCAGATCCCCTCACTACATTGACTACTCATGTAAACGGATTAATGCTAGAGATAATTCGGATCGAAGAGTGTGAATACCCACCTGTGCTTCCCGATTCATATTTATCCAAACTGAACAAAAAAGCTACTGTAGATGCACAAAGTTGGTCATCATCATGGAGAATGAAGCGGGAGACTTCATTTAGGCTCTGCTCGAAGTCACCTAAGAAACAAAGTAAAGTAGTACTAAGTTGAACGCTTAGAAGCTGAAATAATACATGAGAGCAAACCATGCACTTACCAAACAGAAGGGTAACCTTCGAAAGATCCTCATGTTTCGTTATGGTAGTGATGCAGTTCAGAGCTAGGATTTTGTGTGATATTCGCACGTCACGATCACTCTTCAGGCCCTTCAATCCGGCCAAAAGAAATCGTTTTCCCAGAACTGCTGCCGTATACACAAAACAATTGGCAGAAATATCACCTTAAACACAATTCCATGGAAACCATAACTTTATGGAAACTAACTTGTGACACAAAAAACTTACAAACATCCGAGGGGAGATGTTTCAATATTCCTACAGAATCATCAGGTGAATTGGATAACTGAGAAGTATTTGGATCAGAACCATATTTCTCGTATTTCGTGACCTCTTCGTAAAGATCAGCGTGTATTAGCGGATCGATAATTTCATCTTCAACCAATGGGGACTGTAATTTACAGAAACTAAGGAACGCAAAAAAAAGTTGTAAAGATCAACTCTGGGCTAGACTCACAGAGCTTCCACTGGTAGACGGGCCCTCAGAAGGTTCTGGTAATTGCAAAGGCACATTGAACTCCGAAATCCCCTCTGTGGTATCGGCTACGTCGAACATAGACCCAAGCGAAGAAGCAGGGATCGATTCCTCACCTCAAGTGTAACCGAACTACAGAAGATATCTTGTAAAGCTGTAAATAGGCAGTAATACCTCGAACCGGTGACACGGTCCTAGATGGTCGTTCGGATCCCATTAACCGGGATCGAAACGATGGCATGACGTCGAACTGCAGGGGCACAAACTCTCTCATCCACCTGAGTAAAACTGATGAAAACGAAAGAGGACAACGAGAAGATTTCAAGTGACTTACGGCAATGGTTTAGCCATGATTCTATCGAGAAGTTCTATACTGGGAACCACCACTTCACTATGGGAAGAGTGAAGGCAGCACAGTACACTACAAATTACCTGAAACAGTATAATACTTTGTAATACCTGGAGAGATGGAAATGTAAAACTTACAATTTTCATATTATCTTGTGTGACAGCACAACCGGGATCTGAAAGCAATGGCCAAATGGCTTTCAATGTGTTCAGTGACCCTATCAGTCTTGTCCTATTCAAACTATCATCCGCATCCCGAACATTTACCATACATCTCAGAAAAGCCTAAAACGCAACATTTCCTGGATTTTGAGATTTCTGGACCATCAAGACTCTAAACAGTAACCTTGTTCATCACTGAAGGGTAATATGTCGAGATTTGAGCAATCACCGTAACTGCGGCTCGATTAGCAGTGCCACTCAAATCGAGATTTTCCGCTGCCACGCAGTATAGGTTCTGAATGTTAAAACACCATGATACTAGTAAATCACTACAAACCATACGGTAGCAATGAAAATAAGTTGAACTGACAACTCACGTAAGCCTTTTCAGAGTGTTGACTTCGCATTCGGGGCCCTATTGTGTCAAAAAGCAACCCTGCGTTAGTCACTATGGCATTCTGTATGGACTCTTCGGGCCTTTTCAACATGGCCGTCAAAGCAGAAAGAATATGGACCCCATAACTTCTACAAAAACAAATGACTGAAGAATACTGAAAAGTTATTTACGTGAGAAACTCACACGATACGGTTGCATTTGCTGAAGTGAATGAGTTGAGCAAGACGACGAAATGCACAAATGATGGACCGGGCAGGTACGTTTCTACCGATTTCAGTGATGAGTAAAACAAGCACACGTGAATGGTAGAATCCAAGCAGTAAACTCTGAATAGTTACAATTAAATAACTCTAAATGAATCCAAACGATACATTATACGCATACGCTGAAAATTTAAGCAATTTGGGAACCTTATGGTACAAAATATTCAGTTCACATACGCAAATCGATAAATCAATAATTACACACCCTTAGAATGGCATCAAGGGATTCTTCTGCATATGTTCTAATGTCCTGATCTATGTGATTAACCATTCTGAAGACTACCTCCACAGCTTTGGCCATCAAATCGCCATAACGACGATCGGCCTGGAATATATTGGCCTAGTTATGTACCAAGGCTCAAAAGTCAAGGAAATTTTGGCTGAATTGTCAATTGAGAAAATATGAAAAAAGGTGAAAAAAAGGAAAATTACCTTGTACAATGTATTAAAATCATTTGAAATGATGATTCCCCTTATTTCGGTGCAAGCATTACGTTCTTTATCGTAGGAGACGGTTTTTCTGAACAGTAACCAGTAAATGAGCGGAAAGTAGCTGCCCTTGCTTGCCTCATAACAAATAGAAAGTAAACAATGGGATTAAAAGGAAATAACCCAAAAGAAACCTGAACAAGCATGCAGAAAGCTAGCACAACATCATTCACACATCAAATAGTCTATCGGACTAACTTTTAAAGCATTTTAAAACTTACTTATTGGGAGGAACAAGATCGTTTGCTTTCAGCGCACTTTCCAAAGAATTAATCGCCTTTTCCAGGCGTTCGACTTTGGCCGCAGCCATCGATTAGTGGGCCAAATTCGAGTGGATGGTGGTTGATGGAACAAGACTGAACAGAGAGAATCATAAAGTGAAGAATATTCTTGAAAGTGCACTTAAAAAGGTTCAAGAGGAAGTACAAGTCCATAATTACTGATGATTGAATTTTGAAGCTTAATATTAAGCTGGCCGTTGGTTTAAGGGTCATATAAAATATTGTCAGGCGAGAAAAATTGGTAAACTACAGGAGTAAAGCGCTAGGAGAAGAACAAGCTAACATCGATAACTAACAGATGAAGTTTAAAAGTAAAGAGTGTATTAAAAAGTAGTTAGCGACATATAAGGCGGCACGCGTGCGATTACGTACGTTTTTATACTCCCGGCGGTTCATTTAAGCTATCAACGTGATAAAAAATTTTTAAAGCATAGATTTTGTTAATGTTCTTGACTAAATTTCTTGACCAAGGAGCAGCATGCGGATAGATTGTCAGTGCCTTTTGAAAACTACGATGGACAGTTCAGTGGAAGTGTAGTTGTAGGGGGGCCATCTACTGTGCCTGCGATTCTAACGATATAGCTTTGAATGCCTGCAGTGGTGCTGGGAAACGATTCTAATCAAGCAGATTG